AGCCCAGGGAATCTGTCTCCCAGAATCCTGCATCTCAGTCCTGCTGAGACTTCTCTACAAGTAGGGAGAACATCCTCCTTCTAGCCCAGCAGGTAAGGAAACTGTTCCTAGAAAAAAAAACCCGTGCATCCCTGCACGGTTATAAACACATTTCTGAGTCACAGCTACTCAGCCCCTGTTTGAAATTTGGCCGGAGCATCACCACAGATGATTCTCATTTGATTTTTTTTTTTTTTTTCATCTCAGCATAACTGTATTTGAAAAATAAATCAGGATGCCAAGAGCCACTTTCTAAGATGAGTGCAGTCCATCACAGCTCCTGGGAGTGTCAGTCATGGCAGGAGAGCSTGTCCTCCCTCTCCAGAGCCTGGCTGGGCTGCACTGGAGTCACAGAATGGTTTGGAATTGAAGGTTCCTCAAAGATCACCTGCTCCTACCCCTCTGCCAGGGGCAGGGACATTTTCCACTATCCCAGGCTGCTCCAAGCCCTGTCTAATCTGGCCTTGGACACTCTCAGGGATGGAGCAGCCACAGCTCCACTGGGCACGCTGTGCCAGGGCCTCATCGCCCTCCTAGTAGGGAATTTCTTCCCAATATCCCACCTATCCCTGTCCTCTGCCTGTTTGAAACCACTCCCCCTAATCCTGTCCCTCCAAGCCCTTGTCCCCAGTCCCTCTCCAGCTCTCCCGGAGCTCCTTCAGCCGCTGGAAGGGGCTCYAAACTCTCCCTGGAGCTTTCTCCAGGCTGAACAGCCCCTGCTCTCAGCCTCTCCTAAGGGATTGTTCCCTGCCTGGTGCTCCCTCCAAGCTGCGGAGCATCCTCTGGCGTTCTGAGCAGCCCGGGGCTTGGCAGAGGATGTTTTTAACGCTATTCCCCTTTTTATTTTTTTTTTTTTTCGTTCCTGCAGCCAGCCATGCACAGATAGGAGACGTCGGGGAGCCGGGGCTGAGCCGGACCCCGCTCGGGGGTTTGTGTCCGATCCGAGCATCCCGCGGGAAGGGGTGGGACGGGAGGAGCCCGGCGAGGCTGGGGACGCAGGGAGGGGACAGCTGCCACTAGATGGCAATGCCGGAACAGCAGCGGCGGCGCCGCGGTGGCGGGAGCTGGGGGATGTGACACAGGGCTGGGGCTCACCCGGGAAGGGACAGCCCCGGGAATCCGGTGATGTCCTGCCGGGCAGGGGAGGTGGCACGGCTGGGACAGGTGCGGGGAGAGCAAGGAGAGCGGCTTGGGTGGCAATGTTGGTGTGAGAACCGTAAAATCATCTCGGCTGGGAAAGGCCCCCCCATGGAGTCACTATTAACCCAGCGCTACCAAGGCCACCGGGCCACCATGTCCCCGAGTGCCACATCTTTCAAATCCCTCCAGCGATGGGGACTCCACCGCTTCCCTGGGCAGTCTGTGCTGGTGCTCGATGACCCTTTTGGAGAAGGAGTTTTTCCCAATATCGGATCCGAACCTCCCCTGGTGCCACTTGGAGCCCTTTCCTCTYGTCCTGTCACTTGTTACCTGAGAAAGGACACCTCACCTTGCTACAGCCTCCTCTCAGGGGTTGTAAAGAGCAAGAGAGGCCCACCTGAACCTCCTCCTCTCCAGCTCCCTCAGCTTCTCCCCCTCGGATTTGGGCTCCAGACCAGAGGAGTGTTATCCTGTCTCGGTAGAACTGAGCGCATCCCGAGCGCCTTCCTGTCCTGGCACCAGCTGCTCCCCGTCTCCTCGCGTTTCCTCCATTCACAAAAACCCAAACAGCCCCACAGAGCTGGCTCTGACTCCCTATTGAATCATGTGGGCATCAGCCACGCTTCTCCCTGACTCACAGATCCCGGCGTGCTGGGTGAGGGTCAAGATGAGAACAGCAATAAACATCCTGGGAAACAGAGCCTGCATCTCTTGGCATAGCCAGAGAATTTTTTTTTTTCCTTTTGGCTCTCAATCTTCTCTTAAGGAGCTGCTTTCTCATAAATATCCCATCCTTTAGCACCGTCTGAGCAGGAGAGAGGCTCCCAGCAGGGCTGTCCTGCGCTCTGCTCTGCAGCAGCGAATGTAGAGCAGAGGAGAGAGCAAACTCCAGGTTCAGGGGACAGCCTGCTGCCCCAGCACAAGTGTCCAGGTAAGGGGTGCATCCCTGCTTGGAGGCAAGGGAGGAGGAAGGCTGCCTTCCTCCCCCTCAGCCCCGTGCTCTGAGCCACGCTGGGGATGCAGGGGAAGTGCTGGCTCCAGCCTTCCTCACCCTCCTCAGGCTCTGGGTACCACATTTGGGCTGGGTGGGGCYTTGGGGTGCAGGCAAGGATGGGGGGAGCAGAGCAGGAGCTCTGCAAGGCTCAGGATCTGCTCCTGGCACCCAGCCCAGCCTCGGGCTTAATTAACTGTGGCTTAAAGGGCTGAAAGGTGGGAAGAGTGGCAGCACTGCTGCTGCTGCTGCTGCTGCTGCGTTGGTGGTGGGGAGGAGGAGGAGGAGGAGGAGGAGGAGGAGGTGAGCCACAAATAATAATTGATTCGTTTAGGGCAGAGTCTTGGCTGGACTGAGTGGAAGGGACTGTAATTAGTCGATAGCTGCTGCGGCCACCTCCTTGCCTGTTGTTGGTGGAATGAAATCCCAGGTCACTCYGGCTGGCTGGTGGCCTGGGAAGTGGTTTGGAAAGGATCCGGGCACCCCTGCTGCACTCTGTGCTGCTGGGGAGTGGTGAGGTAGCTGGGGACTTGGTGAAAACCCCCAAAATAGCCCAGTTTGGTTATGAAGATAATTGGAAGGGCAGAATTGGGAAGGGATGCAGCGGTTGGGTGTCGCAGAGAGCTCTCAGTGCCTGGCTGAGCTTGGGGCAAGGAGCCCACAACACTTTCTGCAAACACTCCTCTGTTTTTCTGCTGGCCAGGACCCGTTCCTTCCTCTTCCTCACCCAGCCAGCCCAAGGGCTCCTGGCAATACACCCATGAGGGCCTGGGCCAAAAAAAATGAGCTGTGTGGCACTTTGGTCACAGTGGTTCCTGCAGGGTGGGCACGTCCCTGGCAAGGTGTCACCAGGCTGCACTGAGGGAGAAGCCCTGGCCCAAATGAGTGAATGATTTCTGTGATGAAGAGCTTGATTTTATTTTATTTTATTTTATTTTAATTTAAATGCCTCAAGCAGTCCTGACTGCCCCACAGCAGGTGTGAGGGACAGGGCAGCGGCCACTGTGTTTGCAGAGCAGATTGTTGGTGGGATGGATGAGGGAAGAGCACCACAGGGACTCCAGGGTGTCTTGTGCTRCTGGCTGGAGCTGTGGGTGCTCCTCTTGTGGGAAAGGCGGGTAGTGAGTGTCAGAGCCCCAGGGGAGCCCTTTGGCCTCAGGGCTCCATTAGAGGGGTGGGAGACCCTGCGTGTGAACAGCACAGAGGGTGTGCTGTGAGCTGTGTCCTGCCCTGCCTGGGGGGCAAAGAGGACTTGGGGACATCCCTGGGGACCTGGGTGTACCCTGTGTGTGCCAGGGGGGCAGGGTGAGCTCCCTAAAGGTGGGTGGAGGGGCAGGCAGCCCCCTCACCGGGCACAGCCCAGCGCAGGGCATCCTGCACATCCCTGGGTGACCTTGGCACACGCGTGGCTGTAGCATCAGCAGTGTCCCCTGCCCTTAGCGGGGTGCCTGAGGGACCGGGGGGGAGCAGGGTCAGGGACCTCCACCCCCGTGGAAGCTGCCGCAGGGACACATCCAGCCCGGATTGTTTGCAGCTCTCGTATGAGCCGCTGCTCCTTCCAGACAACATCGCGTGTCAAAAGGAAAATACCGAGCTGTGSAGGCTCATCTGTATGCGAGTGAGCAGGAGGGCTCTCCCCGGGCACCCGCTGGCATCGGGTGGCTCCTGCGGGGTGCCGGGAGGCTCGAAGTGTCCCAGGGATGGGGGGAGGATGATGCCTGTGGCCGGAGAGAGGTGCTCGGTGCGGGCTGGGGGGGACGCAGCGAGGGGACCCCCCCTTYGCTCCCCAATTTAGCCACTCACCTAAGAGCACCCGTGTGCCGGCAAGCCCTCCGCAGCCAGGGCGGGGGTGTGTGTGTGTGTGCTTCTGGCAGGGTGGGGGCTCCCCCATCGCCTTTGTTCCCTTCAGACCCACCCCTCGCCTCTGATTTTCCTTTGCGGCAGCTCCCGTGCTTGCCAAAAGAACGCGCTGGATGGAGCGAGGGAGCGAGCCGGGCGTGTTGCGCGTGTGTGCGCGCCCGTGTGCGCCTGTGTTGCCACTGACTTCATTAAAGCGAGCTGTCCCCGAGCTGCAGAGGCGCGGCAGCCTTTAATTTTGTGGCCCGGCTCCTGCGGGAAGCCGCCGTCGCCTTGCGCGCTCCTGCCCTGGCAGCGAAGGGCTGGGCGATCCCGCCGCCGCAGGTGCCCGCCCGGGGGCTCAGCCCTTTCCGTGCCCGCCCGCCGCCCCAGCGAGCCGGCGGATGGGCGGCCGGGCTCCCGCAGGATGCTGAAGATGGAGTCGGGAGGAAGGAGTTGGACACTTGGCTCCAACTAGGCTGGACCGCGCTGCAACCTGTTCCCCCGGCCGCGGCTGCTGCGCTGGGTGCTGTTCCGAATTGTGTCTTCCTTTGCGAGGCGGGGGGGGGGCTGCAAGGACTCGGCTCGCAGCCCCGGCCGTGGCCGCTCTCCGCTGGCCTTGCGGCGGGGGGGTTAAAAGGGGCCGGTTCGGGCTTGCGGGCAGAGCGGAGGGGAGGATGGGGCTGGCTTTAACCCTCGCTCCGTGGGGGAAGGTGCTTGGGGAGCGAGCGGCTGCGGCCTCGGCCGAGCACGGAGGAGGAGGGCTCGCTGCCCTCGCCGCTGCCCGGGTGGCCGTTTTGGGGAGGGGGAGGCGGGTGCTGGAGGCTCGGCTGCCCCCCATGCCGTGCCGGAGGCGCTGAGCCGCTGTCGCGCGTTGCCGCCTCTCCTCCACGCGGGTCCCCGCTCCCGCGGAGGGATGGAGGAGAGACGGAGCTGAGCATCACCCGGAGAGGAGGAGGGGGCTGTGGTTGGGACTGCGCCCCGCCGCCTCGGTGCTGCTGCTTTGGCTCACCTGTGTGTTTTCTTCCAGGATGGCTCGCTTTGGGGAGGCAGTGGCCGGCAGGCTGGGCTCCGGAGATGGGGGCTCCGACCAGAACCGGAGCCGGCAAGGAGCTCCTGCCCCTGCGGGAGGGAGCCCGGGAGCCTTCAAGCAAACCAAAGCGCAGAGAGCCCGGACTATGGCTCTGTACAACCCCATCCCAGTCCGGCAGAACTGCTTCACCGTCAACAGATCGCTCTTCCTCTTCGGGGAAGAGAACATAGTCAGGAAATATGCCAAGAAGCTCATCGACTGGCCATATCCTTTCTGCGCCCCCTGCGAGCCCCCCCCTGGGCTGCCCGGATTTGCCTCGGTGGCCGCCCAGGACACGTGYGTGTGGCACTATCGGGCAGGTAAGGCGTGCGGAGAGGGGTGCCCGGGCCCCCGGGGATGCTCCCCTTGCCCTGTTGCTGCTTCCCCTTCCATCCTCGGCTCCCTGCCTGCTGCTGACAGGATCTGAGCCCTTTCTCCCCCCGGGGAGCCCCTCCTGAGGCTTGGACTGTCTAGCCCCCCGTGCTGGCGAGGAGGGGTGCTCTGATCCCGATTAACCCTGCGTGCTTTGGGGTGCTCTGTGCGTGTGCCTGGGGAGGTGGGGGGCACTGGCCTTTCCTCTGCGCCTCGATGCCTCGTGGAGTTTTGTCTCCCCACCCCACCTGGAGGCTCCTGGGAGCCCACGGATCTCCAGTCCCTGCTGGGTGGTGGCTCTGTCCCTCCCGTGTGTGCCCTCTTTGCTGCAGATCGCGCCCGGCAGGGGCACAGCCATCCTCGCCCTGCAGCCCCCGGCCCCCCATGGTGGCTCCRGGAACCGGCTGCCCCCTCCCTGCGGCAGAGGGAAGGATGTGGAAAACCTCTGGCTGTGCCCCRTGGCCCTTTTTGGGGAGGCTGGCGTGGGAAGCCATGATTTTATCCCAAGGACCCCTCTCCTAGGGCGGGGTGGAGGGCGCAGATCTCCCCCGCTCCTCCATCCTTTCACACCCCCACGCAGCTCTCTCTCCTCCCACCCTCCCCGTGGGTGCCCCCGGGTGTCTCGGCTGCTGCCCAGCACCACGGCTCTCAGCCCCACACCAACCTGGGCTCGGTGCCCACTGCCCCTGAGACCCCTCCTGGACTTTGCCCCCACGGAGGATCCGAGCCTGGAAACTTCAGCGTGGCCACGTTTGGCTGTGGGAGCCTCCCCGTGCYGTGCTCTGCAGCAGCAGCAGCGATTCCATGCAGCTCCTGCTGCTGCCGCTTTCTCTCCCTGCAACTTGTTGGTTGAGTTCCCGGCTCCTCTGGCGGGCACGGGAGAGCTTTCCCTGGTGCCAGGCAGCGGTGCCATGGTTTGGTGCAACAGGTGCCTCGGGGAAAGCCTCTGCTGAGGCCCGGGGATGCAGGACGGGTCACTTGCCATGCTGAGCGTGGCCACACAATTGTCCCTTTGCGGCTCCGACGCGCCAGGCCAAGCCTCTGCCGAGCAGGGGCTGATCGTGCTCAGGGAGCTGCGACATCTCCAGGCTTGGGAGGGTGACCTGGGCACGGAGAGGCAGAATTCCCTGTGCCATCCCTAAACCTGCCCTCCTGGCAGCTGCGAGCTCGGGGAAGCGGCGGCTCAGCACGGAGCCCTGCAGGGTAGCGGCCAGGCCGGCCGCCTGCTTTTCCAGAATATGCCAAATTATTCATGCGCTTTTCCAGCGCCGTGTGGGAGGGCCCTGGCCCCTCTGGCTTTTGTTGGGAGCCAGAAGGAGCCGGGGTGCTGGCGCTGGCCTGGCGCTCCTGGCGTGGGCTGGGGTCCCGTGCCGGCGTGATGTCTCATCTCCAGGCAGCCGCGGTCTCCTAGAGACTGGAGCTCCACCACCACGCGAGCAAAACTCCCCAGCATTATTCTCCCCTGGAATTTGCAATGCATGAGGGAGATGGGCTCATTTTGTATTTTTTTTCCAGAAGTAAGTGACATATTCCCGTGCGGGTGCTGGGAACGGGCGTGCTCCAGGTGCGGGAGCTGAGTGTTCCTGCCTATCCCCCGCCCGGCTGCCATCTCTTTCCAAGAAAAACTCATTCTCCCTGGATGTTCCTCTGCACCTTTGGAGTTTTGAGGGCTTGGGAAGGGGCAAGGCCTTTTGGTGATGAGTTTGGTTCGGTTGGCCAGGCGAGTTGTTGCCATCCTTGTAGTTGTAGCCTGGCACAGGCAGCTGGTGCCTTTTGGTAGGGCCAGGAAAACCAWGTGAGCACCTCATCTGCCTGGCCTGGAGCCCGTGGCATGGCTCCTGGGCCATATTTTGGGGAGGTGAACATTGAATCTTGGCCGTGGTCAGTAGGAGCTGCTGGTTTTGGGAGGGCAATGGACCCAGTGCCGTGGGTCAGGGTGGGTGCAGCACGAGGGAAAGCCAACGGGGCTGGAGAGGAGCACAGGGAGGAGTGGAGGCTCTTCTTCATCCAGCTCTAGTTGACTAGGTAATAGGGCTAAAAATATCTGGTGATTCAGGCCTGGATATCTGCTGGGTAACTGTGTAATTATAACCAGCAGCCTCTGCAGTTTGGCTTCCCAGTGTAAATAGGGATGATGCATGGAGGAGAAGGAGGAGAAATACGAGCAACTGGGACTGGGATGCAGCTCCATGGGAGGCAAGTCTCAGCCGAGTTCCTGGCTGGAGCTGGAGCTTTGCCTCCACTGGAGCTGCTCTTTTAARACTGCTCCTGCCCAAAACGTGGGGCTGCCGCTGTTCTGGCTGTGGGAACATCATCTCCTTCTCTTCTCCTTGGGAAATGCAGCCTTGTCCTCCTGCCCGCTCTCCTCCTGCTGATGGCCAGGCCTTTCACCCTGATTTCATTTGTTTGGCTGCCTGGAAGGCTCCAATTCAGTTAGTCCATGAGATGGGCTGCAGCTCATCTATATCTGCTCCGTTCCTCATCCGCCTAATCACATTTGACCTGGATAAGATCCCTCTCCCGCCCCAGGAAGGCCAGATGACATTGTGTGGCTCTGGCTGTGTCCCCAAGGACAGCATCTGGCTGCAGGCTGTCCGCTGCACCTACCCCCAGCGTGGCAGGGAAGGGGGACTTCCATCAGGACCTGTGGTGAGGGATTTCATCCATCTCAGCCCCTTTGGGGACCAAATTTAGTGTTGGGCTGGTGTAGAGCAGCTGGAGTGCCCTCAGAGCCCCAGGATATGTCCCCATCCCAACGGTCAGGGGGATTTATCTCTTGGGAAGCACCCCTGGAGTGCCTGKGTTGTTTTGCTCACGATGACTCTGACAGTGACCCAATGCTGTGTGGGCAGTGCCCCTCAGGGACCCTGGTGATGTCACCTGGCCAAGCGTCTCCTCTGCACCTTGGCTTTTCCCCAGCCAAGATTCCGGCAGGGCTCGCCTTCCCAAGGGAAGAGCCTACGCCATGTCGTGCCATCCTTGGGCAGCTCCGTCCCCAAGAACATTTCTTTCCCCCCTACCCCGCCAGGCTGTTTCTGTGCCCTCCTTTCATCAGATTTCAGAAGGTTTTTTTTTTGGGAGGGGCGAGTAGGTGTAATGGCAGGTCCATCTTTTTGACAACCGGGGAGAGCGAGGCTGCCTGTCAGATGGTGAATTTAAACAGAGGCAGCTGTTGTCATGGTGATGCCAAGTTGCATCCTGTTGCTGTGGCAACCAAAGTTAAAAAACTGATGTTAAGGCAGGAAAATCACATGATGAGGTCCTTTTTTGTTTAAAAAAAAAGAAAAAAAAAAAAAAAAAAAAAGGAGGAGGAGAGGAGAGAGATTTGATTTCCAGGGTGAGGTGGGGGAGAAGGAGACGCTTCTCCATGGAGCTGTTTGCACGTGGCAGGCAGGCATCCCACATCCTGCATCCCGCATCCCTACGGGAGCGGCAGCAGTGTGGGCAGCTCTGCCCCGCTGGACTCCTGCCTCTCCCTGCCTTCGCTTTAACCCCTGATGGAAACCAAACCACGGCATTTTGGAGCTGGGAGCAGCCCCAGCTGACACTGCAGAGAGTGACCGTGGTCTCCCGTGTGTGTGTGCAGTGGCATTGGGGCAGGCTGGTGCTCCTTGCTGGCTGAGCCATGTTCCCTCTCCTGAGCCTTTGTGTGACAGGCACACGGGAGCTGGCTCATATTCAAAGTGTTGTGGGAGGATTTGGGGTCTGGACGTCACTTAATGTCCATCCTCTCCCAGCTTGGATGGGTTGGGAGAGCTGGGTTGCAGGACACAGGGATGGGGACAGCCAAGAGTGGCCACAGCTCTGTGGATAGTCTTATCAGTAGGGAAAAAATCCCTTGTGTCCTCAGGGACGAGCCAGGGAGGTGCTGTGGGGATGGGGAATCCCAGAGTTGAATTAGGGCCACTCRCAGGCTTTGCTCTACTTGGCACTTTTGGTTTTGTTCTTGGAAACCAAAAACCTCGCTTGCCCAGAGRGGCTGTGGACTCCTCATCCCTGGAAGTGTCCAAGGCTGGGTTGGACAGGGTTTGGAGCAGCCTGGGATAGTGGAAAGTGTCCCTGGACATGGCAGGGGGTTGGAACCAGATGACCTTTGATGTCCCTTTCAACCCAAATCATTCCACGATTCCATGAAAACAGCCTTGGAGAGGAGATGCTCTCTCTCCTGCTGGGGTGTGGAGCTGAGAGGAGGAGGAGGAGGAGGAGGATTGAGGCATCCTAGGGGTGGATGTTGAAGAGGTGGGCTCGTCTTCCCGTCATGCCGTGTCTGTGTGGGAAGGGCAGCAGTGCTGGGATCGGGACTGGCAGGATGAAGGGCACAGGTGAAGGAACTGATGTTTAACTGAGCTGTTCTTGTTGAGACCTGGGGAGCAGGGAAAGCCCCTCAGAGCAGCRGGACCCCAGGGAGGCGTGGGCAGARGTGGGAAATGGAGACATTGGGGAGATGTTGGAGCTGGGCTGGATGATGCAGGCAGGGAGAGGGGTTAAACTTCTGCTTTTTTGGTGGCCTGCCTCAATCCTGTTGGAAGGTGGGATTCCCCAAGGCCCACGTGGCCTCTCTCCTCTGGCTCCTCTGCTCCTTGCCCACCTGCCTGCCCAGGAGAAGGCACTGGAGAGTGGCAGGATGGAGGGGAGCTCTCATAGCTCCGTYCTTGCCCGCATCCGGGGAGGGATTTATCCCATATCCCACCTCCTGTGGAGACAGCACCAATGTCCCACCGACACCATAAATCCATCTCCAGGGCCTGGAGCTGGGCACACACCCTGCCTCTGCAAACTGGGAGCTCTGGGTGGGCTGTTTGGGCTTCTGGCTGGGGAGGAAGGTGCAGAGGAAGGTCMCAGTKGGAAGCAGGGATCTGCCAGKGKCTGAACATCTCCCYRACAKACCCACCAAGGATCCCCATCTCCAGGYGTGGGGTTAGCCCACAGTGCCTCCTCCAGGTGCTCTGGGGATGTCCCCATGGCCTGAGGTCGCTGTCCCCACCTCAAAGGCACCGGGAGGGAAGCGTGGAGCTGCAGGTGTGGCATGCACAGGGACCGGCCGAGTTGCTAAGGAAACAAGTCAACGGTGCAGGGGAGAGAGCAGTGGGTAAAAGAGATAAATCAATAAGAAAACCTATTTTTATCGGCTCCCTAATGATCCTCCAGGAGAAACCAGACGGAGGAGGAGGAGGAGGAGGAGAAGGCTGGAGGGAGATGGGCTCTCATTGCTGGGCTCTGGGGGAGGYGAGGGCTACTCTGCAGTTTGGGTGGCTGGAAGGTTGTGTAATTATTCATCAGATGTGGGAGAAAATGAAGCACTGGTGGAGGATTGTCTGCTGGGCTCCAGCCCCAGCTGGGAGGACGTTCGCTTGGCAGAAGTGGAGAGTGGGGAGCAAACATCCCTCAGTTCAGCCAGATGTTCCTGCTGTCCCTCGGGAGGTTTTTCCCTCTTGTTCCCCCAAAACCTGGCACAGCTGGAGCTGTGGGGGCTGATTTCCACAGGCTGATGTCTCATATGACTCTGGRTGTGCCAACCCAGGCTCAGCTCCTCGGCAAAGTGGGCCAGTGGGGTTTGGAGGGTCACGTTTAGGCCCGTGAGCGATTAGGGAGCGATTGCCCTTTTAGGCTCAGCCAGGTTGGGTGGGGTCTGAGCATTCTGGTGGGGTGGAAGATATCCCTGTCCACGGCAGGGGGKTGGGARTAGAGGTGGTCTTCAAGGTYCCTTCCAACCCACCCCACTYCTTGATTCCCTGATATCCTCTCACCACTGGCTGGAGGTGGAGCAGGAATGGGGTCCTGTGCAGGGGTGAGACAGATGTGCACTGCCCTTGTGTTTTGAACCAGATGTTGGAGCCAGCAAGGGCAGATAAGGGCAAACCGAGCCATTAGAGGTGGYCCTGAGCCCCCCAGACCCTCCTGAGCCCCCCAGACCCTCCTGAGCAGGGCTCCCACACCGCTGCCTTGGGAGGAGTTGTGTTTTCCCATCTGGGCGTCTCTCCCACGGGAATGTGGCAGGGAGCGGTGCGGGATGCTGGGCGGGCTGAGCCGCTGAGCCGGGGCGGACAGACGGACTCTCCGCGCCGCTCCCACACTTCTCATCTAGGCAAATGTGCCTGGTGCCTGGGGAGCCGCTGCCCCGCCCCACTAACGCGCTGTTTGTCTCTTAAGCCGGTGCTAATTGCTCGCAGACTTTCAGGAAAATGATACGAAAAGATCCCAAATAGGCTGGTGGCGCGGGGCCAAGCCGGAGGTGGGGAGMGGCGAGAGGACGCGGCCTTTGCCGGAGCCATGCAGTGAAATATTTACTGGTGTTAAACCTCCGAGGAAAACTTGTGGGGTCTGGCCCCCTCCCCAAGCACGGGGAGCGGCTCGGAGCCGGCAGCGGGGAGCTCTGCAGTCTCCTCCTCGGGTTTGCCTCTAACTTAGCGACCATTAATTTCACTGAGAGGCCGTTTAAATGCCTTGGCTGGATTTTCCCTGGCTTTTCTTCATACCGGGCTAAATACATCCTGCAGGTTCTCCTTGGCTGCCTCTCCTGGCCGGCTCTCTGGGGATCTGCTCCMATGCCCGTCCCTGCTCCCAGTTTGCCACAGAGTCACCACTGCTGGTTTCACTTCACTCTTTCCCATGCTCGTGGCTCACACTGAGGTGTCTTCTCTTGCCCGTGGGCTCAGGGCCACAGGTTGAAAGCATTTCAGTGTYGTTAGTGGCCAAAAGGCAAAGTTGGAAAAGACAAAATCACCCCATTGGTGTTGGACATCTCCTTGCCTGAACCAGAGGGTGCTGGGTCTGATTAGCCTGGTTTGGTGGGGAAGGGCTTAGCTGGCTTAGGAGGGAGCGTGGATGATTCCTTTATGGGAAAACCCACCCCAGGTGGGATCACATCCCCTTTCCACAGGCTTTGGAAAGGTGGCAGTCCTCTCCCAGAGTGGCTGCTGGTGGCAGTGGTGACAGTAATAGAGCTGTTTTGGCACAGAGGGAGAGGAAGCAGGGGTGTTCTTCGCTCCACATTTTGTTATTGAGGACAACGGGGCTTTTATTGCRAAGAATTGGGGAAGATGGATGGGAAGTTGGAAAGATGCAGCCATCCTGTCATTTGGAAGCGCTTTGTTTTCAGAGCTCGGCAGTGGGCCAGGCGGGAGGAGAGAGTTCCACGTCCCTGCCTTGATCCCATATATCAAAAGGCCAGAGGGAGCCGAGTTTGGGGTGCTTTCCTGGGTGCCAACCCCCCCTTTCCTTCCTCAGGTCCTCAGCCACTGGTGTCTGCTGCCCCTTGTCGTGGCTCGGGGTCACTCTGGAGGAGGGTGTGTAAGGCCTGGACATGGATGTAGGATTTAGGGTGTCATGAGGGTCCAAGCAGATCCTGTTGACAAGGTGTTGCTGCCTCTTGGGGTCTTCCTGAGGTGTGGCTGGGCTGGGATATCTYCATAGGGAGTTTCCACCCTGCCTGAACTGAAGCTCAGCCCCAGGTGCCATCAGGGCTCATCCTGCTGCCCACAGGGTGGGTTAATCCAGGCCAGATCCCCAGGACCTACAAGGGATGCTCCATCCTCCTCGGGCTGTGCACATGGAGCCTCCCGTGGGGATGTTTTAGGACCAGGGTTGTTGATACCCTGTGACAGCTCCGCTTTCTGAGCCCCAATTCCTGCTGATTTGTGATGGAAAGGAGAAGGAAAGCAGGGACATGTCAGCATG